GTCGGTTTATTAGGGATTAGTGACTTTCAGTTTAAGAAGTGTAGAGAAAATATATCTTAAAAAATGAATCCAAATGATTCAACTGTGGTCGAACTAAAAGATAGACTGAGGGAGCTGGGATGTTCTAGTTCGGGAACTAAAACAGAATTGGTTCGACGATTGCGGGAGGCAGATCCATCAGGATCAATTATCCTAGACCTCCCAAGGGCACGTGGTGCCCTAGACGATACTGAAAACGCATGTGCGCGTGTTATCGAAACGGAAGTTCCGAGTGATTTAAAAGAAGACGGTGGTAGGCGAAGCAGAGAGTCACTCGAACGAGAGTTAGAATTGGTTCAACGAGAATGAGAATTGTTGAGATCCCTTCGCGGTACAAACATTCCGAATGAAAGGTCACAGTTTGAGAGTGCAGTAAGAACGCCGGTATTTATTGATAACGGACCGCGAGCGAACGTTGCAACAGTGGCAGATTTGCTGAGCATTTACAAAGGTGAAGTGGGTGAATATGAAAATTGGGAGAAACAGCTGCATATGATATGCAGAAACTATGAATTGGATGCTCGTCAAGTGAAGACGTTAATCAGTATGCGACTCAAGGGGAAAGCTCTCGAATGGTTTTACTCGAGACCCGAACACATCGAAATGAGTGTTGAAGAATTATTAATAGAGCTCAGAGGGATGTATCATCATCGACAGAACCGAATAGCACTCAGAAGGGCATTTGAAGAACGAGTATGGAGAAGGAACGAAACCTTCCATGAATATGTCCACGACAAGGTAATAATGGGAAATAAAGTACCGATAGCAGAGGACGAGCTTCTTGATTACCTTATCGATGGTATACCTGATGTAAATCTAAGGGATCAGGCACGAATTCATAAATTTCGCACAAAAACCGATCTGCTCGAAGCATTTGAGCAGATAAGTTTACGGGACAGAAGCCAGAGCAACACGGTGCAGAACGCGAAATTCGGAAGCAGCGGATACAGGCGGCCACCGACTATGAGGAACGAGATAACCGAGAGGACCGAGAGAGGACAGGATTTCCGAGGTACGAGACGTTTTTGCTACAACTGCGATTTGCCAGAGCACATGAGCGATAAGTGTCCGACGAAAAACGAGGGTGCTAAGTGCTTCAGGTGCCACGGACGGGGACATATCGCGGTGCAATGTCCTAAAGCGCGGGACACAGCAGCAGTGAACGACGTAGCGTCACAGGTAACACCTAAAAAATGTATAAAAGATGTTGAGATAAACGGTCATCATATTGAAGCACTGATTGACACTGGACGCGATTTTTGTTTAATGCGCGCTAATCAGTACATAAAGTTAGGATCTCCGCGATTACAGCCTAAAAAGGTCAAGTTCACAGGAGTAGGCTCTACAAATACGACATTAGGCGAATTTTATGGGAAACTAACCGTCGATGGCAACTCCTATACGGTCCTTATACGCGTAGTTTCAGATTTATTAATGAGTCATCAATTGACTATAGGAACAGATTTTCTTGAAACTGTTGAGCTCCGCTTAAGGGACGGTAATATTTCTATTAGTCCCTCCGATAAAAAAATCGCTAATGATGTACCGGAGATATACCAAATAAATTTAGTAGAAAAGACGAAAGAGAAAGTTGATGTTTCGCACATCCCCGCCGAACATCAACGGGTAATAGAAAATTTGGTCGAAAATTACGAGCCCGCGAAAATTAAAAAGGTCGGTGTCCAAATGTCAATCGTGCTTAAGGATGATGAACCCGTTTATCAAAAGGCGAGGCGATTATCGCCTTCAGAGCGAGACATTGTTAATAGGCAAATACAAGAATGGTTGGATGAAGGCATAGTTCAACCCTCGCTATCAGAATACGCAAGCCCGATAGTCCTAGTTAAGAAAAAGAACGGTTCTATTAGATTATGCGTAGATTATAGACTCATAAATAAAAAAATTATTAAAGACCGATATCCACTGCCTCTCATAGACGATTAAATAGACTCGTTACAAGGCGCGAGATATTACAGCACTTTAGATTTGCAAAATGGATTTTTCCATGTCCCCGTAGAGCAGAATAGTCGGAAGTACACCGCGTTCATAGTGAAAAAATATTCACGTTGAATCTTAAAAATTCAATTAGAAGAGTCGACCGTACGGTTTAGCAGCAAACATTTGCGGCAAACATGGTCTGCACGTTCGCCGATCGCAGGTAACTCCGAATCGCGCGACAATGGGTTGCCCTACCTGGAACTTTTTCGGGGAGGGAAATGCAATTTGTCAGTCAAAATTTTTCACAGAACCTACGCGTTTCTGAACAGAAGCGGACGCACGCGATGGAACGCGTAAACGCAGAGCATTATCGTTCGTTCTTCGTTTTCGCGGACTCCAAGGGGAACGCGAAGAAAGCCGCCCGCACGTATCGCGCCCATTATCCCAGCGAAAAGGAACAACAATCCTGAAGGGAGCAAGGTTCGAAGAAGCAACAATCCAGGGAGGAGCAACAATTCAGGGAGCTACAACCATTCAGGAAGGAGTAATAATTCAGGAGGGAGCAACATCCAGGCACCGTTATCAACCCAGGAAGGAGCAACAATCGAAGAAGGGTGCAACGGAACACATCGGTATTTGAAAGTGAAAAGTGTTAGTGACCGTGCTGTGAAGTGTTTTCGGAGTGAGAAGCAGGTACGGCGACCGGGCCATCCCATCAGCTGATTTTCGTTGGGGTTTTTGACCTTGCCGTGACCGACAGCGGTGCATTGGCCGGGCCCTATTGTCAGCGCAGTAGGTCAATTTGCAGATAAATGGCTAAGTCGAATTTCAATTATTTCTCTATTAACCCTTTGCATTCGAGGAATGTTTCGGTACGCAGGAATCCAGTCTGCTTTTTCAGTACAGTTTTTAATAACAAACGGTTACAAATGGTTCTTACCGTATTTATTTTTATTTTCTGATAATAATTTTTATTTTAACCCTTTGCACTCCGAACGATTTTGGACGTTGGCTATCAGCTACTCAGCGCCACTTTACGGCAAAAACGAACATTTACAGACCCTCGTATTATCTATATATATAAAAATACGTTGTCCTATGTTCGTGATTTTATAACTCGAGAACCACTCAACCGATTTTCAAACGAGTACATGCGTTGAAAAGGTCTACTTTCACTGATGGTTTATAAAAAAAAACATCGAAAAATTTCTACGAATATGCGTTATACGCGCACTTTTATGATGGTGTGTTTTCCCTATATAAAATGTATTTTTTTTCTTATGCGAATTACATTTTGTCGGTATAAGGCTCTGCTTGCTCGCGTCATTTGACTTATTTAATTTCTGTGTGTTTATTGATTGTCATTTCAGTTTACAGTGCGAGCATTGACATTTGTAACCTTTCACTTATTTTCACATTTGTAATCTTTCATTGACATTTTGTAATCTTTCACTTAAAATTAAAATCTTTTGCATCAAAAAAAAATTAAAAAAATTATTCAACAATGCCGCGACGAATACGTTCACAAATTGGCCGACGAACACGCCACAGCAGTCAAATACGTTTAAATAGATCTAATCAGGATGAAGAAGAGCGATTAGAAAGTAATGAATTAGCAAGGCAACGAATGGCACGATCAAGATCAAATCAAAATCAAGAACAAAGAGAAGAACGTATTGAAAGTGTGAGAGTTAGAAACAGAAGAGATCGTGAACGTAACACTGAACGTGACAATCAAACCAGGCAACAACGGAGACGTAGCCATTCAATTGGAAATTTGGATCGTGCAGGTTTTAATTATGATCATAACATTGATTACGCTTCGCATCCATCTATTCAAATTGGCAAAATGGATAAAGTTTGTAATAAATGCAATGCATTTAAATTTAAAAATGAAACCGATGGAATGTGTTGTGCTGGCGGAAAAGTTAAATTAACACCATTAAGTCCACCACCTGAGCCATTATTCTCTTTGGTTCGTGGCAGAACAAATCAGTCAAAACATTTGTTGAAATTCATTCAGTCGTACAATTGTTGCTTTCAAATGACATCATTTGGAGCACAACACATTGTTCGTGATAGATTTATGCCAACTTTTAAGGTAAATAATGTGGTTTTCAATTCAGATATTAATATATGTTTTCATTTATACGAAAATTCTAACCAATTTGTTGAATATTAATTAAAGATTCAGGGTCAGGTGTACCATAAAATTGGTGCGTTATTGCCATTCGACAACCAAGAGTATCGCTTTCTACAAATTTATTTCATGGGAAATGGAGATGAAGAAGTTGATCAGCGTTATTCAATAAATCCGAAATTAAGCAAACCAATTATTCGTGAATTACAAATATTATTACATGAACATAATGAATTGGTTAGAATGTTTAAATCACAAATTGATAATGTGCCTGCTGACAATTATGGAATAAGAATAAATGCGGATAAAACGCCAGCTGGCCAACATGTAGGAAGATTTAATGCACCAAGCTTTGAAGATGAAGTAGCGATTGTCATGGTTGGAGAAGAATTCAATAGGCGTGATATTATTTTGCAACGTAGAAATGACCAGTTGGAAAATGTTAGTGAAACACACCGTTCTTATGATTCGTTGTAATATCCGCTAATTTTTTGGCAAGGTGAAGATGGGTACCATTTTAATTTAAGAATGATTAATCATTCAACCGGTGCGTACAAAATAAAATAATTTTAAGGAGTGAAATTAAAATATAATTGATTAATGGAATTTATTTTTAATTCTTTTTATGGCAGGTGCGGTAACTGATAAAAAGGTTAGCGTTATGAATTATTACGCGTATCGATTAATGGTTCGACAAAATGAATACAATCACATTTTGCATTGCCGTAAGCTTTTTCATCAGTACATTGTTGATATGTATGCAAAAATTGAAACTGAACGTTTAAATTACATCAAATATAATCAAGCAAAACTACGTTCAGAAGAATACATTCATTTGCGTGATGCTATTAACAATGATGTGGATCCTAATGATATTGCCAATATGGTGATTCTACCATCGTCATATGTTGGTGGACCACGACATATGCATGAATACGCGCAAGATGCAATGTGTTATGTGTGTCATTATGGAAGACCTGATTTATTTATAACTTTCACGTGCAATCCGCAATGGACAGAAATTAAAGAACATTTATTTGAAGGTCAAGGGCCAACAGACCGACATGATATAACTGCACGTGTATTTAAGCAAAAGATGAAATCATTAATGGACATGTTGATAAAATTAAAAATATTTGGTGAAGTACGTTGCTGGATGTATTCGATTGAATGGCAAAAGAGAGGACTACCACACGCTCACATTTTAATTTGGATGGTTGACAAAATAACACCAGAACAAATTGATAGCGTTATATCAGCAGAAATTCCTGATCCTGAAATTGATCCTGAATTGCATGAAATTGTTACCAAAAACATGATTCATGGACCATGCGGTAGTTTGAATATGAATTCAGTATGTATGCAAGATGGAAAGTGTACAAAAAATTATCCACAAGCATTAGATTCTGAAACCATTACTGGAAATGATGGGTATCCAAAATATCGTCGACGATCAACACAAGATAATGGTAGATCAACAACTGTCAAAGTGAGAACACAAGAAATCGAAGTCGACAATCGTTGGATTGTCCCATATTCACCAATTTTATCAAAAACTTTTAAGGCTCACATTAACGTTGAATACTGCAATTCAGTTAAAGCGATCAAATATATTTGTAAATATATCACGAAAGGTAGTGATATGGCTGCTTTCGGTGTTGTTGAAAATGATGAAATAAAACATTACCGAACTGGTCGATACATCAGCAGTAATGAAGCAGTATGGCGTATACTCTCTTTTGCAATACATGAAAGATACCCAACCGTTCAACATTTAGCTGTTCATTTGGAAAATGGTCAGCGTATTTGTTTTAATGAACAAAATGCAGCACAAAGAGCAATTGCGCCACCAAATACAACTTTAACCGCATTTCTTAAATTGTGGCAAGAAGATTCATTTGCAAGAACATTGCTTTATGCTCAGGTTCCATCATATTATACTTGGAATGCATCAAAAAAGGAATTTCAACGTCGAAAGCAAGGCAAATCTGTTCAAGGTCATCCAAATGTGTTTGAAACTGATGCTTTAGGTCGAATTTACACAGTTCACCCAAATAATGATGAGTGTTTTTATTTGCGTTTGCTTTTGATAAATGTTCATGGTCCAACATCATTTAATTATTTGAGAACTCTTGATGGACAATTATGCGCCACTTACCGTGAAGCATGTCAAAAACTAGGATTGCTTCAGCACGATACACATTGGGAAAATACATTAACTGATGCATCGGTATCAGCATATCCACAACAAATTAGAATTTTATTTTCTATCATTATCTCAACGTGCAATCCGGCTAATCCATCTGCTTTATGGATGAAATTTCGTGATTACATGACGGAAGATATTTTACATCGAATACGCACCTTAAATAATAATGCTCAATTGAATTATACAGAGGAAATGTATAATGAGGCATTGATATTGACTGAGGATATGTGTTTAGGAATGGCGAGTAAAGCTTTGGCTCAGTTAGGTATGCCATCACCCAATCGTTCAAGAAATGATATTTTTAATCAAGATTTGCTTCGAGAACAGAATTACGATCCAAATATGCTGACAAATTATGTTCAAGAAAATATTCCTAAATTAAATCAACAGCAAAAATTAGATTATGAAAAAATTATGCAAGAAATTGATAATGGTAATGGTGGGATGTACTTTTTGGATGCACCTGGTGGTACTGGCAAAACTTTTTTGATAACTTTAATTTTAGCAACTGTACGAGCACGTGGTAGAATTGCTTTGGCACTTGCATCTTCTGGAATTGCAGCCACTTTATTGGATGGTGGTAGGACAGCACATTCAGCGCTAAAATTGCCTTTGAATATGACGATAAATGAAGCACCATCATGCAATTTATCAAAAACCTCTGGCATGGCTAGAGTTTTGAAACAATTTGATATTTTGTTGTGGGATGAATGCACAATGGCACACAAGAAACCAATTGAAGCTTTGGATCGAACAATGAGAGATTTCCGTGGAAATCAAAATATATTTGGTGGTGCTTTAATATTGTTAGCAAGAGACTTTAGACAAACACCACCTGTTATCTCAAAATCAACACCAGCTGATGAAATAAATGCGTGTTTGAAGCTATCAAATCTATGGAGATACGTTAAAACGTTAAGACTCACCACCAATGTTCGTGTGCAATTGCAAAATGATCAATCAGCTGTAACATTTTCAAAGCAATTGCTTTTAATGGGTGATGGTAAAATGCCAGTTGATAATGATGGTTTCATTACAATTCCGAGAGATTTTTGCATATTCACACAATGAAAAGAAGAACTGTTGAAGTAAACAGTTGTCCGCCTTCCACACACGTGAGTTGTAGTGTGAGTGGGGAAAGATGCGCGAGTGGCACAACAGATGGAGCGTGTGTATACATATGTATAACGATTTTGACTAGATGGCGTATGATTGTCGCCGATCTCTTCCGACCTTTTCCTTCTTCTTCCGTAAGATCTCGCAGTGTAAACACGTGCTTAGTGCGGTGTTGTGTAATTATTGTATCAACGTTAACAGGTTATGGGCCCAGCTACGTGGCCATAGAAGAATCTAGTTTTATCAATTCATGTTCAAATTTTGAAACAGAACTTCAAGTAAATTTAACGCAACAGGCAGAAATAAATAAATAAAAGAAATGAAGGTTAGTGAGCAACGTCTTTTTCAAATACATCGATTTAACGGTCAAAATTACCAATTGTGGCGTAGACAAATGGAAATCTTCATGACAGAAAATAAATTGAAGCCGTATATTCTCGGTACTGAAAAACGAACTACAGAAAATAATAAAATCTATGATGAAAAGGATGCTGAAGCACAAGCATTCCTGATGCGAGGTCTAGAGTTAGAACAGTTAAAGTATTTATCCGATTGCTCTACAGCAGCAAGTATGTGGGCAAGATTGCGCACTGTGCATTCTGAAAAAAGTGATCAATCCGTGCAAGTCCTACTCGATAGATTTATTAATGCTAAAATGGAGGAAAATGAGAAAATGGCGGACTTCATCGCACGAATAGTATCCCTCACTCAACGTTTGAAGGACATGGACCTTGAACAGAAGGAGCCAGTAATTATCGCCAAAATATTAAGTGGCCTTTCTCCGCAATTTGATAATGTTCGAACGGCTTGGTATGCAGTGCCCAAAAAGGACCAAACAGTTGATAGGTTAACAGATCATTTAGTAAACGAGGAAGCAATATTGTACAGTAGATCAAAGGAGGAAACCAGTGTTGAGACAGCCCTGCTCGTGAGAAGCAAATCGCGTCAATCGAGTTATAATCAAAGAAGTGAGAAAAACTCAAATTACGAGTCAAAAAATTACAATAATGATTCAAGTTCTTATAATTTCAAGAAAAATATAGGAAATTCTCAAAAACGTCCAGGAAAGTGTAATTATTGTAAAACACCAGGACATTGGGCAAGGGAATGTCGAAAGAAAGCACGAGATTACCCAGACACCAAATATCAACGCTCCTTTATGGCACAAGGACCTGTGAAAAATGAAAAATATTTTGTTGGACTTGATGGAAACTCCCATGATGATTCATTTCTATTAACTGCTGAATGTTCCAAGGAACACTATAATGTATGGTTCGCAGATTCAGGTGCAACGCATCACATGTCTTTTCAGAGCGATTGGTTTAAGAATTTTGAATCATATCCAGAAAAATCTTATTGTGTAAAGGTTGGAAATGGTGAAAAGATTGATGCACGTGGAAAAGGCGACGTGGATGTTCAAATTCAAGGTGATGATGGTGTTGTTCGAACACACACTATCAAGGATGTTCTATATGTTCCACAAATAGAGAAAAATCTATTGTCTGTTTACCAAATAACCATGAGAGGTACAAAAGTTACCTTTGAAGAGGGAGGAAACACAATGAGACTTGAAAGAGATGGAAAAACAATTATTACTGGAGTAAGAGATGGAAACTTGTATAAATTAAAAGTCAGTCCAACAAAATTAATACAGGCAAACTTAGCAGCGTGCAATTCTCTCACGATGTGGCATGAACGTCTTGGACATGTGAATTACAGAACCTTAAGACAAATGTATCGACAACATACAGTTGAAGGACTAAATATTGTGGGTTTGACAGAGGAAGATCCATTTTGTGAAGGTTGTGTTCTTGGAAAGCAACACAGAAGAAGTTTTCCGAAAAATCAAGCGCGACGATCACAAATCCCTGGTGAACTATTTCATGCAGATGTTTGCGGAAAGATGAGTACTCAGTCTATAGGAGGATCAAATTACTTTCTACTTATTAAGGATGATTGTTCCAAGTATTGTTTCGTTTATTTTCTGAAATACAAATCCGATGTTGCAGAAAAATTGCAAGAATTTTATGCCGAAGTTCTAGCAGAAAACAAACAAATAAAACGGCTAAGGACTGACGGAGGAAAAGAATTTTGTAATGCTGAAGTAAAGAAATTTTTACTGTCGAAGGGTATTAAACACGAGGTAACCACACCAAAAGCTCCACAACAAAATGGCTTCGTTGAGCGACAGAATAGAACAGAAATTGATGCCGCAAAAGCTATGTTACATGCCAAAAATCTTCCAAGATACTTATGGGCAGAAGCTGTAAATACGGCTGTATATATTAAAAACCGAACAGCGTCTGAGACAATAGGCGGAACTACACCTTTTGAAAAATGGTATAGAGAAAAGCCATCTGTATCACATCTTAGAGTGTTTGGAAGTGAGTGCTATGCACACATTCCAAAGGAAAGCCGAACAAAATGGGAGACAAACTCTGAAAATGTTTGTTTCTTGGGTACAGCGAAGGCTGTAAAGCTTACAGAGTATTTAATTTTAAAACAAAGAAAGTTTTAGTACGAAGAGATGTCGTCTTCAATGAAAATAATAATTCTCACCATGTCTGCTTAGAAGACATCGAAGAACTGAACGAGAAAGAAGAAAATGAAAAAGTAACAAGAAATCTGGATGAAAACTCAGTTAAAGAGGAAAGCAGTGGACAACCTTATGATACTCCTTCGAAATACAGAAATCCACGTTTGCCGATTCCACGAGATCCTTACAATTTGCGAAACAAATCTCCAAAGGGAACTGATGATTTTGAAGTAACTCTGGCTGAAACGTTTATGGCTCAAGTAGAACCAGTAAATCTTGAAGAAGCCTTGGAGGCAAAGGATGCTGAAAAGTGGATTCAGGCAGTAAATGAAGAGCTTCATGCCTTAAAACAAAACAATACATGGACACTTGTATCCAGAACAAAAGACATGCATGTGATTGGAAATAGATGGGTTTTTAGAAGAAAATATAAGGCAAATGGTGAAATAGACAAGTACAAGGCCAGATTGGTTATAAAAGGATACTCTCAAGTAAAGGGTATCGACTATCAAGAAACTTTCGCACCGGTGGTTAAATTTGACTCTGTCAGATTGCTATTATCAATTGCTGCAGCTTGGAATATGAAGATTTATCAATTTGATGTGAAAACGGCGTTTTTGCATGGAGAATTGAGCGAGAAGGTTTACATGGAGCAACCATATGGATTTGCAGAGGACAACCGAGTGTGTCTTTTGAAGCGAAGTTTGTATGGGTTGAAGCAGGCACCCAGGCAATGGAACAAGAAAATTGTAGATTTCTTGATAAATCTTGGAATGAAACAATGTGCTGCTGATCCTTGTGTGTTTTTCAAAGTAACTGAAAAGGATGAAAGACTGTATCTGGCGCTCTATGTTGACGATGGACTTGTCTGCGGAAATAATGTAGATTCTATAAACAATTTATTGAAGTGTTTGAGAACTAATTTTCAAATTATCTTTTCAGAGGCACAATTTTTTGTCGGTTTACAAATACATACAAATGAGGCTAACGGGACAATAAGAGTACATCAAAGTGCCTATACGTCAAAAATACTTAAAAGGTTCAATCTTGATAATTGTGCGTCTGTTTCTATTCCAGTTGATCCAGGTTCACACCTCTCAAAAGGCGATACTAATAATAGTGAAGGTCAATATTACCCATATCGAGAAGCAGTAGGTTCATTAATGTTTTTAATGATTGCATCCAGGCCGGATCTGGCTTATGTTACTGGAGTTTTAAGTAGATTTCTCGAGAATCCTCAGCGAGAACACTGGAATGGAGTGGTCAAGGTATTTAAATATTTAAAGGGTACTGAAAATCATGGTATAACCTTTTCTGCAGGATCGAATCAATTTGAGCTGACTGCATACTGCGATGCAGATTGGGCAGGAGACAGAGATACTAGACGAAGTACGACTGGTTGGTTATGTTTGTTGAATGATCGTCCGATTGCCTGGAGTTCAAAACGTCAAACGGTGACAGCTACATCGACAACCGAGGCCGAATTTATCGCACTGTGTTCTGCAACGAAACACATTATTTGGACCAGAAAACTACTGGCTGAACTAGGGTATAATTTAAGGACGCCTACACACATAATGTGCGACAATCAGCGTGCGATAACTATTGTTAAAAATCCGGAATCGATTAAGAGCACTAAACATATAGAAACGCAATTCTTTTATACAAGCGATCAATACAGAAACGGTAACATTGATGTTCAGTATGTACAGAGTGGAAATCAGTTAGCAGATCCTCTTACGAAACCGTTACCAAAGGAAACCTTTTTGAACATTAGAGCGCGATGGGGTATGAATTAATTGGATTGTTTTTGAAGATTTAAAATTTTGTTTTGTACAAAGATCGTGTGTGTAATGCGAGAGGGAGTGTTGAAGTAAACAGTTGTCCGCCTTCCACACACGTGAGTTGTAGTGTGAGTGGGGAAAGATGCGCGAGTGGCACAACAGATGGAGCGTGTGTATTCATATGTATAACGATTTTGACTAGATGGCGTATGATTGTCGCCGATCTCTTCCGACCTTTTCCTTCTTCTTCCGTAAGATCTCGCAGTGTAAACACGTGCTTAGTGCGGTGTTGTGTAATTATTGTATCAACGTTAATAAGAACTAATTGAAAAAGTCTTCCCAAATATACAAGAGCAATACAAAAATCATGCTTGGTTGAGTGAAAGAGCTATATTGGCAGGAAAAAATAAGGATGTCAATGATTTGAATTTCATCATTCAATCTCAAATAGATGGTGAATTGATCACATATAAATCTGTTGATACTGTGAAGAATCAAGAAGACGTAGTACATTACCCAACTGAATTTTTGAATTCTCTTGATTTGCCTGGAATGCCACCGCATAATTTACAATTGAAAATCGGATCTACAATCATTATGCTTCGTAATATAAATCCACCAAAATTATGCAACGGAACAAGACTTGCGGTCAAAAAATTAATGAATTATGTAATTGAAGCAACAATTTTAAATGGGAAATTCAAAGGCGAAGATGTTTTAATACCACGCATCCCAATGATTCCCACTGATATGCCATTTCAATTTCAACGATTACAGTTTCCCGTTCGTTTGGCTTTTGCAATGACTATTAATAAAGCTCAAGGCCAGTCGTTGCAAGTTTGCGGAATAAATTTAGAATTTCCTGTATTTTCACACGGTCAACTGTATGTTGCATGTTCACGTGTTGGGAAGCCGTCGTCTTTATTCATTTTTTGTGAAAATGGCAATACTAAAAATGTCGTTTACCACGAAGCTCTGCAATAAATTTTTTCCT